GCGTCTGCGGCGCTGAGGCAGTGGAGTAGCGGCGCTGCACGAAGAGATCTGGGCTGCTCATGCGCAAAGCAGTGTCTGAGCCATTCCAAAACAAACTTGCTTTCCTGGCGTAGGTGAATCTCGCCTCGGTGCGGGTCGAAGATGCGTACCCAACTGTGCTTGTGCGAGGGTGGAACCTTAGGAACATCTGCTTTGCAGGAGATGTTTAGGGATCCCACCTCAAGCACTCTGCCATTGCGTGGCAGCCAGCTACCCGTCGGCGTGCGGGAGAGCTGGGCCGTAGCATCCAGGCAGTCGTAAAAGGCCTGCCATGCCGACGGCGCGATGCTGTGCAGGGTGCCCTGACCACTATGCAGATCTTTATAAAGCGGCGCCATGAAAGGTCTAAGATGTTTGCTGATACTAGTAGCCCAGTTAAGCAAACCCAGGACAGCTTCTAGTTCTTTGCGTGGGATTTTGCTTTTGCGTTGCAGGGCTTGAAGTTGTTCCCTGAGCTTGCGAAGCTTAGTGGAAACAAGCTCTACAGTTTCCGTTGCGGTACAAAAAACCCAGCCGCACCAGGTGACGGAGGTGCTAAACTGTGCTTTCTTCCAGCTTATCGGAGCATGCAATGCCGCAAGTAGGGCAACTATGAGAGCTGCGCCTTGCTCGCTCTGTGCAGTGCGGAGCATACAGAGCAGGTCATCCACGTATAGCCAGGCCTTATGTGGATAACGACCGAGCAGAGCGTGCATGCAGCGCAGTATCAGGCCGCCTGTGCGTTGCCACCAGTATGCCGAAAAACGAGCACCAAAATGACAAACGGTGTAATAATACAGTGCGGTGCCTTGCCGAAACAACAGGGTGCCGTGCTCCGATGGGTGGACCTTGTTGCATTTGTGCGCGGCTTTAAAGTCGATCGACAATGCGGTTTGCTGTGCCGCCAAGAACGTGCGCTGCACATCGGATGCAGTGGGCAGTGCAACGCGTTCGGGGATATGGACCGCCGGATTGAGGCCGCACACGGTGCTGTCGAGTACCAGCCGAGGGTCGCGACCCTCAGCTACCACGACATTTAGCTTCCCGATGGCGGTGCCTTTTGGCCAATGCAGTGCGGCATCTTCCTCGGTGCCTTCGAAGCGTTTGACAAAGCCTTTCTCGACCTCTTGTTGGATTAACTGTGCTAGCAGTTCGGGGCTTTGCTCTGCTGCAGTCCAATTTCCTCTGCAGTGCTCGAGGTGCGGGCCTTGCAGATCCGACGATGCGTCGATGCTATGCGGTGCTTGTGGCCATTGCCCGCTGCTTGGCAGGGGCTCAAAGGCTCCCGTGGGAACCCCCTGATCCAGCAGCAAAGGTAACTGTGCATCTTTGTCTGCGATTGCTACTGCGATGCTGTGCAGCAAATTTAGCCTAAAGGGCTGGCCGGGGCTAATGGCCAGGCAGTGCTCTGTAGAGCATTCTGGGTCGACCTTGCGGCGTATGATTTCTGCAATGACTGCGCCATGGTGTTCAGAAAGGGGCTCGGTTTCTTTATGATCCTTGAGGTGCTGGGCTATGCTATGCACCAGGTTATGCTGTCGTAAATACGCTAAAATGTCCTTTGCTGCAGCTCTCATTGGCGCGTGAGACTGTGCAGTCGAGCCAGACATGTTGTCTGCATTACTAAAGAGTCCTGCGCCGTCACATACAGCTGGGCGTTTGGCGCTAAAGCACTGCGGCAGAAATGAATGAAAATTGCGGAGCGGCACCACTGAGTGCGGAGCTCCCGATGCAGAAAGTTTAGCTAAGGCTACTATGTCTGCAAAGCTTAAAGACGCGACTTCTCCGAGCTGGGGGTCCGTGCAGCAAAAGATGCGGGGCGTGGCGTCTTCAGCCAGTGCTGTCGACCAATAGCAGTGCGTGGCCAGCTCCTGGCAGAGTTGAATGTAGCTATCTTCCAGCTGGGCCGGGCAGGGGTGCGGGAAAAAGAAACCTACATGTGCTCCTTGCAGGTGTGCTGCGCGGAGCATAGCTTGAAGCCAACTGTGCTGTTCTGCGCTAAGGTCACCTGGGTCCCAAAGGGTAAGGAAGAAACCTAAGCAACCCGACCAAACTACGCTATGAAAGAGGGCTAGGGTGTCGGGTTCCAGTATGCTTTGCGCATCTGTTTTCTCTGCTTCCAGGCAATGCATGGGATCCAGGTCCCTGAGAGGCAGAGAAAAACGCACTGATGAAATTTGCAGAAAGAAATGCAGGGCTTCCCCCGGCAGCTCAGAGTCGTCACTCGAGTACTCGCTGGACGCAGTGTCATGCTGCGGCGTTGCATGTGTGTCATGCTGGCGTGAAGCGCACGCCGTACTGCCAGGCGTGGCATCAGAGACGCTTGGCCGTGTCTCGTCGCTGCTGTGCAGTTCGTGGGCAGGGCCGCGCTGTTCAGCCACTGAGGTGGGTGAGGTCGGCAGTGCGGTGCTGGGCCCTGCAGCCGGTGCCAGAGGCGGGCAATCTGCCGGGGGCTGCTGCTGGAGCGAGCGGACCGTCCCGGCAACGGCCACCCGCCCACTTCACGATGATGGCGGCTCCTGCGGATTCTTATGTTTGCATGCAAGGTGGTTGCGCCCCAGGGCTCTCCCGAAGGGAGTTTGAANNNNCACTGTGCGTTGCGGCAGTGCCCCTTATTAAATCTGATGCAGAAGGTGCGGCCGCCATGCTCCTTGACCAGGTCGGAGGTCTTAACCTGCGTTGCCGTGCCGGTGCCGGGCTCTTTGCGTTTGCCAGGCTGCGTGCCGTTCTTGGTGTTGCCGCCCCCCTTACCGTCTTTTCCTTTGCCTTCTTTGCGGGGCGGAGGCTTTAGGGGCGGAGGAGGTGGCTTAGCGCGGTACTGCAGTAAATTGCCGATGTCTGCGCGGACCGTCGTCATTTCATGCAGGGCGTCGTCCAGAGACCATCCTGTGCTGTGCAGTGCTGCAATTTCCTGCCAGAGCTTGCGATCCGCTGCCACCAGTTCCGTAGTAGTAACAGTGTGTAGCGATGCGTCTGCTGGCGAGTGCGTTGCAAGGTCCAGCACCTTTTTGTCAAAAGCCTTCAGCCGTGCAAGGTGCGCTCCCTTGCACAGTGCTATTGCATTGCGGAAGACTGTTTGTATTCGTCCCAACCATGCGGGGCTGAGGCGAAGATGATCGACCGGGAGTTCCGGTGTTTCATCATACAGTGCGGTGCTTAAAAACTGTGCCTCTGTGCGGAGCGTCTTTGTTGTTTTGCTTTCTATAATCTCCTGGTATTGCTTCTGCGAGAGTCGCAATTGCCAGGGAATCCATGCGATGCTGCCTCCCGGAGAAAACCACTTGTGCACAATGCTGAGCAGTCTCACGCTGGGCATTGCGTCACCATCCAGGTGTTCACCTGGATAGTTGGACTGGAAGTCTTTGGTCAGCTGTGCGATCGTTGCCGCGTCCAAGCGGGGTGGTGCGTGCTCCGCCCAACGGTTAAGCGGCAGCTGCGGTGCGGTGCTGACGTCAGTGGAAGACGCCGGTGCCTCAGCTGCCTGTGCCAGGGCTTTGCATCTATGCCAGGCTCTGCGAAGGCGGGCCATGGCTGGGCTATGCTCCGGCTCATCAATGCCCAGATCTTGCCAGAGCTGAGCATATGCCGATGCGTCGCAGAAGCGGCTGAGCTCAGCAACCTCGTTGTAAGCAAAGGCGAAGTCGGGTATGGACTGGATTCCCGTGCCTTTCAATGCAGTGCAGAGCGGTTCTGGCACCTGAAGTGAAGACAGAAGCTCATCCAAAGCCTCCGGTCCTTCAATGCCTTTTGTTGACACAGGCAGTGCCATGCTTAAGCGACAGAAAGCTGCGGGTTCTACGAGAAAGCTAAAGCAAAAAACGGCTGCGGCAGTCGCGTGCACCAAAACAAGAGACACGCATCCACAAAGCAAAGCTGAGCGGAGCAGGGGGCGCACGTGAAGATGATCCACCTGAGAGGGAGAGAGGAAGAGGCGGCGAGAGCAAAGACAGGGTGGGCTTTTTTAGGACTCTGCGCTGCGTCGAGCGTTTACGCATGCCTTGCGTCTGCAGAAAGGTTCTTGCGGAAACTCTGAGACTTGCGCTGCGATGCCAAGTTCCATGCCGCACGCGGTGCGGCTTGTTTGACTTTCGGGTCCATCCCGTGACAGTGCGTGCCACCTGCCCCAAGGTCCCATACAGGCAAAGCGGGCCGTGAACTCTGCCCTGACTACGAAAGGCTTATTGACTTGCGATGCTGTGCTAGAGACCGACGAGGATACAGAGCTAAGGCTGTTTGCTCGACGCAGCGCTGCTCGTTCGACCATTTCTGCCTCCTCGTCAGATGGGAGGTCGATGCACTGCGAATCCTCCTGAATCTGCGTCGGAGGCACTTGGGATGGGTAGGCAATGGTGTCGGGGCAGTGCTGTGCAAGGAGAGTTTCGTGACGCGTCACGAAGGCCTGCCAGGCTCCTTGCATCAGCGCAGTTGCCGGCAGCGCGGTCACCGGTTCGCCTGGCGGCAGGCTGAAGGGAGGCTCCGGGATCGGTGCTTGGCCTCCTCGTGCAATGCTGCGCTCCGCTCTCCATCCGGAGGCGAGCGCCTTGCTGATGCGGTGCTGCACATCTAAGCTAGCGAAAACATCGTTACGCGAATAAAGATCTGCGCTGTCGCGATGGTGGCCTTGAAAGAGGCGTAGCTCTTTGTCCAGGCGTAGCTGTGCCGCTGAAGCCAGCGCGGTGCTTTTCATGCTGTGCAAAGTGAGCTGCTTGGCCTCCGCGCCGTGGAGCCCTTGCCCCGGCTGCTGCCAGGGCAAAGTCGCGGCCCACCTTAGAGTGAGCATTGCTGTGCAGTACGATGCAGGTGCTATGTCTGGCATCCGGACTAGCTCCGGCTGTGCATTGAACCAAAGAAAATCAACCTGATCTTTGGGTGTGCTTGTGGATTCCAGTGCACTGTGCAATGCAGAAAGCCAGTGCAGAGTCCAGCAAGAAGCGGTGTCTCTCCCGGAGACACCTCCCAGTGCAACAGCAAAAGGCTGCCCCATGTTGGTGGTTTTGGTTGCGTAACATATGCCGTGCAGTGCGCTGCAACTAAGCGAAAGAGAGGAGACGTCAATGCGTTGCACGTCCCCAAAGCGCAAGCTGGCATGCGTTGCTAAGAGCATGGCTCCAAGTGCGAGTTTGGTGCACAGTGCGGTGCGCGGCTGGCAAACCACCTGTTCCCAGGATGCCACCAAACACCACGGAATGGGCAGCGCCTCGCGTCGGTCCTTGGCTGTGCCTCGGACCGCATATGCCTTGATAACAGGGCTGTCTAGGGCTGATGACAGTGCGTTCCACTGTGCGTGGCGGGCCAACCAGCGGAGCGCTTTAATTGCCGACGGCGCGGAAATCTGGTGTACTTCGCGGTCTTGGCTGTGCGATGCTCGCGCGGCAGCCAAAAAATCAAGCAGATGCTGCAATGCTACCTCGGAGGAAACAACACCTGAGCTGGTAAGAAACATTACCATTAGCCATGCTATGCGAAGATACCGTTCAAGAGTGCCAGGGCGGTACTCCCTAAGGACTGCCGACATATGCTTGTCGGCTTCTTTGCAGCCTTGCAGGGATTGAAAGAGTTCCGACGCTTCGGCTATGTTGTGAAGGATTTGGCACCACGAGGTGCAGCATGCTTGCATTCGCAGTTGCGATGCTTTGCGGGTTGAATTTGGCTGCACTCTAAGTGGTCGTGGGGGGTGACACTTTGTAGCGGGACGCCGGCGATGGCAGAGACTGTGCTTCCTGTTGTTGCGAAGTTTGCGGGGCTCGCTGTTGCAAACTACGGGGCGGAGCGGGGGGAGGTGGGATTTCCAGCCCCCCCGCGGTGATCAGTTCACCTCCTGACTGAGAGCGCTTTGGGGTTGGGGGAGGAGGGAGGGGGCTGCCCCAGTCCGGGGCAGGATAAGCAATGTGCTTTGCAGGGCTATGGGGTCCACAATGGTGGCTTGGCAAGGTCGTGGACAGTTGGCAGTGGGCCGTGCGAGTTAAGCTTCACATTGAAACGCGAGGGCTTTGCCGAGGCCCCAGGCGAGGCTGATGAAGCCCCGGGCTTTGCATTGCTGTCATGCCTTGGCTTGACGGTGCGAAAAAATCGGTGAAGTGAGTTGTCATCCACCAGATCCACCACCTCAGGGTGAGATGCAGGGCTGGGGGACCTCGATGGCGGAGGCGAGGCAGTGCGAGACTCCGGTGCATGGGCAGATCTTGCTGCTGCCTGTTCAGCCCGTCGTTTTCTCATTGCAGTGCTGTGCTACCTGAAAATGAAAAAAGGCGAACAAACAGGCTGTACTCGCCACGTTGAGCCTACAAGACTCCCGGGAACAAGAAGCAGTGCAATGCAACTGGGCTGGGGCAGACATGAGTGCACAGCTGAAGCACTGCAATTGAACCTAATTTGGCAGACAAAAGTGCAACGCAAGGCCAAAACGAGCTGCCGACCCATCGATGGTACTTCAGTGCGAGCTCCTCCGCGAGAAAGCCGTGCATGATCGTGAATGTACCTGACAGAGAGGCAGGGCAACGACCGTGCAAGGCGGGGCAAAGCAACACGAAGCAGAGGTCACGCTTAATCCCCCCTCTGAGCGAAAAAAGTCCAGGCCTATCGAGTCTCAAAGCGATGCTGGACCAAGCCTGGGCTGACACTGCATGCGACGCAGGTGTCATTGCGAGGCTGGCGGCCAAAGTGCCGGGCACGGTGCGATGCCGGCGAGGGGCGTCCTGAAGAGCACCAAACCAAAACGAAGGTCACTAGCAAAGCGATGCAGTAGCGGAAAACCCCGCGGCGGCGCAACCACGTAACCTTTTTTCCTGCATCCACGGTGCGATGCGGGTACAGTGCTGTGCAAAGCTATGCGGTGCAGAGGCGAGGCCTTTCAGCGCCCTGCCTCTTTGCACTTAGAGCAGCGGTGCGTCTCGTGAAGGTCGTGCTCGGGTGGGCTGCGCAGGGGCTTTTGACATGGTGGATGCCCATACGGGCAGTCCACCATGTCGCAAGGCTGTGCGCAACAAGGCTTGCGCGTTGCGGGGTGCTGGAACATGGGTCGCTGCACACCGTCGGTGCACTGCACCCATCGCAGTTCTGTGCGAATCTTGCCTGAGGCATGGCAAACGGGGCGATCGATGCGGGGCGAGCGAGCTGGGTGCAAGTGCGGTGCTAGCTGTGCAGTGGCTGGCTGGGGTGGCGGGGGCGGTGCACCGTACCCAGCGGCCTGTGCGTACGCCCAGTCATCCTGTGCTTGCGGTGCGGGGCGTGGGCGATCAGACCATGTGGCTGGGCGTGGGCGGTGCGGCTGGGACCAATAGCGGTCGGGCTCATCGAACTCTGCATTCGCCCAAATGCGTTCAGTCTCAGCACGGTGCCTGTCGTAGTCGTCATAGGACTGCCGTGCGGCTGGGAAAGGGCTGCGGCGGGGCGGTGCTGGAGCCGGCTGGCTGCGGGGTGCAGTGCTCGGTGCGCCGCGGTCCCAATCATCATCATAATCGCGACCATGGCGACGCTGTGCGTAGTCCTCATCATCTTCCTCTTGCTGCGGTGCCGCAGGTTGCGGTGCTGGGCGTGGTGCGCTGCTCGAGGCCGGGGCGTCGCTGGACGACGCGGGCGCTGGGCGACCAGTGTCCATGTCGTCCTGCAGCAGCGCGAGCTG